AAATTATTAGGCCAGTGAAAGATCTGAGATGACAGTCATGACAATATAGAAATTTGTAAGTAGAGATTGTTTCAGCTTATTAACATAAGCATAGGGTGTCTTGGCAAATCTTAATGGTTTAACATTAGCTTGCTTTTTTACATCAAAATCATGGCTAAAATTTCTGCAGAAACAAAGATAATGGTTGTGACTTTGAAGGGAAAGATAATTCAAGAGATATCCAAGTAGCTGAGAATTTCCAAAAACAGTGTTTAAAGTTTCCAAAAGACATTTGCTAATACTGGAAGTGTTTTAAGGGTAGAGTAAACTGGAAGATCATAAAAGTTAGACAAGAAATATGAAAAATTGTGAGAATCCCAACAGGCAATCCAAAATTAATAGCCAGACAAGTGAGGAGTGAATGCAGTCTTAACAGTGAGGTTTCTATTGATACAGTATACAAAGTATTAAAAAGTACAAACAACTTTTACAGGCATATAGCAGAAAAAAAATCATTAACAAAAAAACTTTGGTATAAAAGATTAAAATGGGTAAAAGAACATCTAACATGGATGCTAGTGTTATAAACACATGTATGGTGGCGCAGAAGAACCAATGAAACAACAGTACTCTTGCTGAGGTGAAAAGAAAAAAATGACAAAAATTATAAATATAAAATTATTTTGTTTTGCCGATACAGCGAATGCAATCTAGTGTGTCTCTAAATGTAGGCAGGTGAGGTGGTTTTCTAGGAAGAGGTGAGTTGATAAGGCCTGGAATTGATGAGTTTGTCAGGTCAGTTGACTGATGTCATGTGATGATGTCAAGAGAGGCTTGGAGTGGCTTAGTGAAGCTATGAATCTGATTTTCAGTGCAAGCAGAATGTCTCTGCAGATATGTGTGTCAGGTCAGTTGACCAAAGTGATGCTGGTGACATTGAGAGTCCACTGTTGTCAACAACTGGCCTGTTTACTCTGTTCCATCCTCATCATTTTTTAGCAGCTTTCTTAAAAGCAAATCTGGTGGCTCCCAGACTTATCTTTTTTCCATGTTTTTTCTTTGGTGGCAACATTAATGATTGGCTTCTTTTATATTGTATTTTATTTATTTATTTTATTTTATTTTTTTTTTTTGGAGAGGATTTGTTTTGTAGGTTGGAATTAATGCTCAGTGTCCCTGTGCAGAAGATAACATTTTTATTTAAGCTTTTGCTTTCTTAGCACTCATGACACTGAGGCTGTGAGGTGGTTAAACATTAATTCTAAGCAGAAAAGGGGTTAAGCCAAAAATGAAATATAAACTAGAAGACAGAGAGATAGAAAGAGAGAATGGAAGACATTTTCCCTGGTAATGTGGAAATGAAGAAAGGGTCATCTAGGTTGCCTCACACCTACAAACTGGAATGATCTATCAAAAATTTGGCATGTGGATAAAGCAAATTGGGAAACAGCTTTATCTCTTTCTTGGGAAATTAGAAAAACACATGTCATTGGTGAAAAGAGAGACAGACAGGAATTATATTTTCATTAGTGAAAATGAATTGAGAAATGAAAACAGAGAATGATTCCACTGCAAAGGTTAGGATTATGAAAATTGATCCATCATAACAGGTAGGTCATCTGGTTTATGTTTTTCACTAAGATGGCAACTGGACTAAGGATTGAAAACAGCATGTCTCTTTGTTGAAAATTTAGGTAAACAAATATATTTTCTTTGACGAAAACAAATTGGGAAATAATTTCTATCTATTGCTTAGAAGATTAAAATGAGGTGATCTGATTTATATTTTTTCTGGACAAGTGGGTTTAGGAAAGGAGTCAGGGAATTAAAATTAATGAGGAGAATAAACCACGCCCAAAGACTGTTATGTCAGCCCTGAGAAGTGGGCAGAGTTAGAAAACCAAGAAGGAAGGAGGGAGGGGCAGAATTTAACCCTGCCTGTGTGGAGTCGCAGTGCAAGATGTGAAGTGAAGCAGGTTGGAGTTAAGGGAAGAGCAATCCCTGTGACTACTCCCAAAGAAGCTGGATAATTCTCCAAATTTGGAAAATTGATTAAGAAAGCAGAAATAAGGAACCTTTATTAGAATTAATGAAAATTGGGGAATCATCAGATCCCCAGAACCCTTTGGCCCCATGCCAGTTTCGAGCTGAAGTGCATATATGCAAATGACTTTGAGGAGCTCAGAGACTTTGGGATGAGATTCTGCATTGAGTTCCTCTAAAATCCACATCAGCTGCCAACCAGATTTTCTAATTCCAAAACTTTGAACCCAGCCCTTCAGAAGTTTAGACAAGGCCCAGTGTCACCATAGAGATCGATGAGGGAAGGGTTAATTTTTGTTGTACTAAGAGCTATATAAACTAGTTGAAGATTAACCCCATGAATCTCTCATTTTATTTTTCCTTGTGAAGATATTTTTTCATTAATATGGCACCTGTCACAGATTGTACCAGTGCTGCAAGACTATAACCTTTGATTTTCCACTACTCTGAGATCAAGAACACAGCATAGGCAGAGTTGGTGTAGATCAAAGCAGCTAGCGACCAACAACCAACTTGAACCAGTCTCAGCATTGACCAGTGCAGAGGTATACCCCTGGTTAAAATGTTGTTTTTAGACCATGAGGACCGAACCACTAAAACATGGTTACACCACTGAATGTAAAAAAGTGTTATACTCATATCTAGCTAACATTTGCAGCACAATATAACACTGGAAAGTAGGAAAAATAATTCTTAGTGATGAATACAAAATAGTTACATTCTAATACAAGGGAAAATGTAAGACCAGTGCAAGAAAGAGCCAATCCAAGATACACCCCAAAAGCAGTAAAATTTGGTGGTTGACACAAAATGGTGTGTGGTTGCATAAAAAATGATAGTAGAAAAAAATGAGTAAAAGCTGATGGAAACCAAAACAAATAAAATTATATGAGTTTATTACAGTCTAATCTTCTGCTAGACTATGAAGATGTATAAAATTTTCAGCATGATGATGATTCTTGCCACATATCATGTGCAACAAAAAGGTTTCTTGTGGATGAAGATGTTCAACAATTGGAAGACTGACTAACACAAAGTCCCAATCTCAATATAACTGAACCATTGTGGTGGGAACTGAAGAAACAAGTGCTCCAATGAAAACCGCACAATCTTCAAGTGTTTTGGGATTACTGCTAAGAATGGAAAAGATTCCAATGAGAAAATCTGGACCTTCTCCAATTCAATACCACATCAAATTGTGGCAGCTGTTCAAGCCAAAGGAAGCAACACTAATTATTAACTCCATACTCTGATGTTTTGTAATTTCTTTAATAATAAAGATCACTTTTAAAAAAAAAAATAATCATTTTTAACTTAAGGAAAGAGCTGAAATGTGAAATTTTTGCTGGTGGTCCAGTATTTTTATATGGGCTTTTTTAAGTATCACTATGTTTAAGATGCTCTATCATCCTTTTGTTGTTGTTAGCACCTGCTCACATCAGAGCACTGGGATCATCATCTTCTTTCCTCATTCCCTTTCTCTCTCTAAATGGTGGTGGCAAAGATGGCTGTGAATTAAAGAGGTTGACAGGGCCATTTCTGTGAATTTGATTTTGATTGATGATTCTGTGCAATGGAGAAGCACACACACTTGGCCAGAAGCACTTCCCTCGTAGCTCAAAAGGGATTGAAAGGGGTGAGATCGGGCAAATTGTGTCCCATCATCCACCATACAGCATTAGCAAAATTGTAGTAATTTGTTTTCTGAACTTCAAAGATAAAATGTGCTGAGAAAAGCATACTGCTAATTACTCTTGAGTTTAGGTTTAGATTAACTAAAGTAATTAATTTACCAAGGTGGGCTAAAAAGTTTTGCATGCCAGTGTCTATGTAGGTATGTATGATGCATCCAGTAGAGGATGGGCATATTAAACATTTGATAATTTTGCAACAATATACACTTAAAGGTCTTAGGCAATTTTGATCAACATTTCTTTACATGGTTAGCCGTAAGGAATTATAAATGTAGGACTACCTTACACTTAAGTAAAATAATAACAATAATAATATTTATTAAGAATTTATTACAGGAAATATCAAGTTTTACATAAACATTGTCAACAATTATGTATTTAGTTACATAACAAATAAATAAAAATAATATAAATTTTGATGTTTTATTTGATTTGTTGTTAAGTATTTTTCATTTTTTCTTTTGTGATTGGCAGCATTTTAGAATACTTTGGCTGCAATGCTAAGTTTCCTAAGTTGAAGAAACTGAAGCTATTTCATTTACGCTTTGTTACCTCTCTTTTCCATTGTTGTTTTTAGATTGCTTTCTTCCCATCATATTGATGGGCAAGAGTGAATTTCGGAAATTTAAAATAATCTTATTCTATTTGAAAAATAAAGCCTAAAAATAAGGAATATTTTAAATTGATATATAACCAAAAATAAAATGCTTTTGGCAAAAAACCTTGATGATTTCACAGTAATTATGTAACAATAATGTAATGATATTCCACAGACAAATCTACAGTTTATGTTACCTCATCTCCTTGTATGGTTACAAACTATAAACCTAAACTGGACTTGAAATATTAAGTAATTGGCTCTAATTTTTTGTAAAATACTCAGATATGATATAATGAATAATTTTCATTGAAAAAATAAATTTTTGATTTTTTTGTTGAATAGTCCCCCTCCTCTGCCAAACACATCATATAGAGAATTAATTTGCATTATATTTTAATTTACAGATGACGAGGCAAAATAAAAAACAAACATATTAAGAAATATTTTTCCAAGAAAAGTAAGCTGATTAAAAATAGCTTTTTCTGTCTTCTTTCATTTTGGCTGTGAGTTAAATTTTTATGCAAATCAGAAATAAATATCAACAGAAGAAGAGATTTATTGCTGGAACATTTCTTTCCAATGAGTCCTTTTATTTGGTTTCTATTCACTGTCTGATTAAAAAGCCTGAGGACACTATGTAATAAGAAACTCTTTTTTAATAAGAAATATCTTCTTCCTAGAGAATGTCAATTAGTGGTATCTTTTCTTCCTTTAATATTGTCTGCAAGAATTCTATAGATTGGACAGAGAACTTTTCTGCACCTCCTGGGTGGGTGAAATCAATTCAAATTTTGATGAGATTGCAATGTTCTTTCATGTTTAGGTTGATTCATTTTCTCTTCCATTTTACCTTTCTTTCAATTTTTATTCTTCCAATCTGGTTTCAATTTTGCTTTCTTTTTATCTTCATTCTATATTATTCTTTCATTTATTTTGTTCCTTTGTTTTCATGTCAAATCCCACTCATCATTGATTTTTTTCTTTCTCTCTCTTTTCTGCTTTGTTTAATTTCTTTCTTTTCTTTTAATTTTCTCTCCAAATTATACTTTTTCCTTTTCTTCTATTTCCCTCTCTGCTTTTACTTTTACTGTTTTCATTTCTACTTTCTCTCTTTTGTTTACTTTAATTTCTACTTTCTCTTTTTATTCCTCACTTTCTTTCCTCTTTTCGTATCTTGCTATTTTCATCTATTTTTCTCTCTCTCTCTCTCTCTCTTATTTTAAAGGTTGACATGTCACAAAATAAACCAACCTAATCCAACTTTTTTTTTTACTTTTCTCTTTCTTTCCTGTCTTTTTTCTTTCAACTATTTCTCATTTCTCTCTATCTCTTATTGTAACTTCTCTTAGTTTCTTTCTTTACTCCTTTCTCATTTAGCTTCTACTCTCTCATTTTCCCTTCTCTCTTTCTTTCATTATCTTATATTTTTGCTTTCCCTTTCAATATTTTCTTTCATTTATCATGTTAGGTTTTTTTTATTATGTATCATTCTTTCTTCACTTTAGTCATTTTATATTTTTGCCCTTAATTTTTTCTTTCCAACCATAAAACCCACATTTAAATCACATCAGGAAGGTTATTTCTTGATGTTCTCAACCTATGGAGGTGATCTCTGCATGCAGTACCATTGGAAAGTGCCTGAAAACCACACCACGCATTGACCAAAACTTCATTAGTGAAATTGGGTAGATGGAATTGCTCATTGAAGGTTATGCTAGCATGAAGTCACAACTCATCATGACTGAGTATTTAAAAATACTAGCCTTCTTCAATCTGTTGATCCCATGAGATGATGTGCTCCCTTCAAGAAACAGGAACTAAGGTCTGTTCAGCATACCTGCAGTATAAACTATAAGAGTGCTCTAAGAGTGTTGAACACAGGTGAGACGTCTGCAACAGGGATTGGCTAGCCACCTTAGAAAACACATATACTTGGGTATGAGTGGCCATTCTCTTCTTTACTCTTCTTCTCTTCATCCTTCTCTAATTTTTCTCTGTGTTCAATTCTGTTTTGGGCTTACTGCCATGCCACCAAATATTGGTTTCATAACAATCATCAAAGTTAAGCAATGTTGTGTCTGGTCATTACCTAGATGTGTGACCACTTGGGAATACCAGATTCTGTGGGGAGAAGTGGATGAACAGGTGGTATAATAGATAAAGGCATGGAATTGTTAATCGGAGAGATGAGTTCCAATTCCCAATAGGTTTGTTATATTCACTTATGCACAAATACCCTTGGGAAAGGTATGAATTCACTTCTTCTCCCCACAACTATGGATTAATTAGTAGGACTTGTATCACTAAATCATTATTATATCCACTTAAAAAAATAATAAAAAATATATTCCAGCTTTAAATAACCTGCAAAGGATTGATAAGACATAGAAAATAAATCAATAAAAGACAATTCTCTTTTCTTATTTTCAATCTCTTGTTAATCTTTTTGTTTTCACATTTTCTTTTATTTTACTAAAGAATAAAAATATTTGCTCTGTATTATAATCTGGTTTTATTTTTTAACCACTTATTAGCAGAGAACATAATTCATATATTTTAAAACAATATGCCTAATTCATTGAGATACTTTCAGTTCTCAGATAATCATTTAACATCTGATTCTAAAAATTCCATCTTTCTAATGAACAAAGGATAGAAAATTCACCTTGTTTAAATTCTTAAGCAGAATTCTTAAGAATTGTCTTGTTTCAAAATTTTAATTACAGTTTTGCATTATTTTTGTTTTTAAGTTTTTATCTTGTTTTTCATGTTTGTTTTTTGTCATTCATAATTGTTTTATGGCCTGGAAAAATTTCTAAAAAGTATTTTAGCAAAATAATTTTAAAGTTTTATTTTATATTTGTTGATGATTGAACTAGTGACCTTCTTCTCAAAATATTAATTGAACCAGAAAATCTCTTCTTTCTGGCTGTCATCCTCAGTCTTGGAAAATCCATAGAATTAAATTTGTCCAAATGTCAATGAAACAAGTTTTATTAATATTTTATTGATTTTATTTTCTTATTAGTAAAAGCTGATTAGTATTTCTTTCGTTTCAATTATTTGCTTTTACTGCAACTATTCAGACTGTCAGTCTCCAGTATAGATTCATATTTAGAACATCAATCTGAATTGTTAAGATAAAAAACAACTGAAATTAAGATGAAAGAAGTACAAGCCAACAATTTATAATGGTTAATAATGCTTTATTTAATAAAATCAGAATAATGTTACTACAATTAATATTACTACAAGTATACATAAAAACAATAACAAATATAGCATTAAAGTATCAAAAAACTGAAAGGTGCCTATATAGTTAGATTTGATCTTCTGCCAACCCTAGGCTCTTGTAGTTCAACTGGCTAAGTGTCTAGTAGGGATAACAAGGCTTCCTGAGGAAAAGCAGTGCAAACAAAATCTTATCAATAGCTTATTCTTTTATTCCTGATCTATATTTTTCACTGATGTTTTTTAATACTAGAATTTACCAGTACACACCTCAATGTAAAGGGTTACTAGCAAACTTGAACATTAATGTCTGCAACAAAGAAATTGTGTCAAAAAGATGGTTATTCCATTGATACCACTATTATTTTAATTAACTTCACTCCTCAGCAATGTTTATTGTTGTAAAAAATATGATGAGTAGAATTGTAATAAAACCTAAACTTATGAAAGTGAATTTATACATTTTCTTTGTTCTTGAGAATTTACAACAAAAATAATAAAACACTATTTATTTATTGGATTGTTTATTTACACTATTTATTATATTGTTTATTGGAATAGTTGGCAAAACACAGGCTAATTGACTATTTATTCAAACTTTATAAAATGGTAAATAATAAAGATATCCTTAAAGTTAGTTCACATATTTTAATAATTTAGTAAACATTTATAAATAAAAAAATTTCATATTTATTTATAAATTGGTAAATGATAAATATTAAATTGCATTAATTTTAATTGTATTAGTTTTTAGAATATTGTAAATATAAAATTGAGGATGCAAAGTGGAGTAATGGACAGCAGCTCCGATTGCGGAATCAGAGAGCCAAGTTTGAATTCCAGTTAAATCCATTACATTCACTTACCTGCTAATACCCTTGGGAAAGGTATGAATCCTCTTCTTCTCACCCCAGTTTTGGGTAAATAGCAAGACAGACCAGTATCTATAGCCTTGGATGGCAACTGGTCTACTGCAGAAAGAAATGGCAACCTACTGTAGGGAAAAAAATCTGCCTCGTCAGTCATGTATCAAAGGATACATGATCACCTAAGCATGTATCATGCATGGCAAATAACTGATAACTGAAATTTAAAATTATTCTTGTAAATAAACAATATAATAGTGTTTGATATTTTTGTTGTAAATTCTCAAGAATAAAAAAAATGTATAAATTCACTTTCATCATATCTTTAGATTTTATTACAGTTGTAATCATAGCTTTTTAAAACTATAAACATTGCTGATGAGTGAAGGTAGTTAAAATTATAGCAGTTTCAAAAGGGAAAAAATGTCCTTTTAACATACTGTTTTTTTGCTGACATAAGGGTCCAAGTTTACCAGGTTACAGTTAAATGGTAATGAGGAATTGGGTGTATGATATGAATAAAATAGGAAGTGGTAAGGAGTAAAAATTATGAGGATAGATAACAATTGACCCTTGACTTGAAAAGGTTAAGATTGTTGTGTTTAGGGAAGCACCCACATAGGAGTCTTTTCTACAAACTAGTAGCACTTGAAAAAAGTTGCCTGAGTGGAACTTTTTTTTACCTTTAGAATTTGGAGGAAATGAGGACGTTTTGACACTATGGAAGTAGCATATCCTATCTGTAAAGATCTAAACTGGTAGAACTAAATAGTAACCATACAGTAGTGATAGGCTTGCAATGTTTCATCTGTGGAAAAGACAGCCCTAGACTGACAGTATGAATAGTTGCAATATGTGATGAGTGTAAAATAATAATAACTCCCTTCACCCACTCCATTCAAATTCAAGTAGGCTGTGGATAAAGACAGAAATAAATTTGTGAGCCTATGAGAAATTGTTTTCAACCAATTCAAACCTTGTCTCCACAAAAATTAGCCATTAAGCCAAGAAGAAGAAAAAAAGTAGTGAGCCTATGTGAAATTCTTTTTGACATAAAATGAGGAGAAAAATTAAGTTAATAAGTGAATAATCTGAAATCATGTGAAAGGTTGTGTTTCTGTTCAGCATTGTAGTTTTCACCAGTGTAAAATTACTTACCAATTATATTAGCAGCTTTTAACCAAGCATGCAGCAATTCAAAGAATTTTCTCTCAACAATCCAAAAAGCTAAGTATTTTAAACTCTCTTTGTCTACTTTTGAATGCATGCAACCCTTCAGTGAACAACAAACTGTCTTATCTTTTTTTTAAAGCATTTTTGAATATTATTTTGTGTCAGATCATTTAATCTGTTGCATGAACATTTCCTCTTCATGACAATTCTTTAAAACTATGGACTTAAAAACCTTCAGAATTAATTTTCCCGAAACAAGCTACTGACACAAATTTAAGCATGTAAATTCATAAATAAATTCCTTATCTTGTTTTGTTAAAATTTCCCATGTTTCCACATCATTAATATTCTCCATTGTCTTCATGGGTAAATTGACTGTTCATTTAAACCCTTAAGTCCCACACCACTATAAATAAAAGCAACTATTTAAGATTAAATAAATGTTCATCAAAAATTAAAAACCAAATTACATGCTATTATAATATAAAATAGTTCTTTTTGTCAGGATTACATTGTTGCTAATGGATTAATTTTTTTTTTAAGCATTTCACCCCAAGCAAGGTGGGAGTGCCACTAGCACACAAAGGGGTACAGAGGGTGGGAGCAAGAGTAAAGAGGTGTGATAGAGGAAAGGATGAAGAGAAGGACAGGGAATAGATCAAGGCATCTGGACATGTCAATTGACATTGCATTTGAATAGTTGGAGATTATAGCTAGACGGGAAGTGCAAGACATTAAGTTATTAGAGTAGAAGAGATGGCTACATTTAACCGTTTCAACAGTGAAAGGGTGGGAATGAGATGCCAACCTATAGCACGTTTAAATTCATGCAGTTTGGGAACCAGCAAAAGTAGCTTGTCAGAGCAGTTACCTTGAAAGTATTTGTAGAAAAGACAGAGGGAAGCAACCCCACATTTGTGAGAGAGCAACTGTAGACAAGATGCTAGAACAGGGCTAATCATATTGCATATCCATCTCTGAATTTTGTCAAGGACCTCAAGATGAACAATGGAGGCTCCAGACCATATATTTTACTCAAATTGTTTCTATAGGTCTATTGCCATGTGAGATAATGTGGAAAAAAATATATTATAGTCTTGTTTGTTTGTATATAACTTTACCTGCAGAGAATATTTTCCCTAATGAAGGAAAACTCTTAACAGAAAAGCAACCCTTTCTCAAAGCATAGAGTTGCATTTGGGGCTAACCACCTAACCTAGTGGAATAATTCTTTCTTCTTTTTTGTTTTTTGTTTTTCATTGGTTTATCCAAGCAAGGTGATAATGGCACTGAGATGCAAGTGGTTTCTGAGAGTGAAAGAAGATGAGAAAATGTCAGAAAAGAAAAAGAAGAGCAATTTCAGAAACCTCACCAAAGACCCTATGTGCCATGAGGTACTAGAGACAGCACACACACACACACACAGACAGACATGCACATACAATGACACCAATGGCCACTTGTTGAATTAGAGTGGCAATTGAAATTTAAAAGTTTACTTGTAATTTTGTTTGGTTTAAAAATGTTGCTGGGCCATCAGCTGTCAGAAAATCAGTGGTGCACCTGTGTTTTTTTCATTTTTTCCAAGAAAAACTTTATGTTACTGAAATGCAAATTTACATATTTTTTTGTTCTTTCCATAGTTCTTTCTCATTAAATATTTACAATATCATTAAATGTTAATGGTGATATTAGCCATTTCCTTATAAGAAAATATTTGGCATTCATTGACTGAAAAAAGCATTAATCCTGGTTGAAGTTTATGAAATCTTTCTCTTAAAATAATTTTTCAGGAAAATAGATTTCTCAACTCCACTAGCTGTTATCTGTCTTTCTAGTATTGATGGAGGTTTCCTTCCTTACCTTTTGTTTAGGATAGTGTGGAAAAGGAACATCTTTATTATATCATAATTTTTTTCTTTAAGTTGCATGTGCTATCCATTTTAGTTGTTGCTGCTGTTGGAAGTCTTCCTATTTATAAGAAATATTATGCTGCAATTATTGAAAAATTCTAGGCTTACAGCCATATCACATTGAAACACCAGTTCTTGTATGATCAACAAAGTTAAGCAGTATCAAGCCCGGTCAGTACCTAGATGGGTGACTATTTGGGAATATCAGGTGTTGTAAGCTTTGATATGTGGATGGTGTAATGTATAATGGTTTGAAATTAGAAATTGGAGAGCCATGTTCCAATTCCAGTTGGGTTCATTATATTCACTTATACACAAATACTCTTGGAAAAGTATGAATGCACATTTTCTTCTCCCAGCTATGGGTTAATTAGTAGGACATGTATCAGTAAAGATCATTATTATCTCCTAAAAATACTTACAATCTAAAAATATTTTCTGGCTTTAAATAACCTGCAAAGAGTTGATAAACCATAAAAAACATCAATCAATCAGTCAATCAAAAATTCTAATTATCTGTAATAATTTTTTTCCCTGCTTAAAGACAAATGATCCTATAATTAGCAGTTCACAGACCTGGTATTATCTCATTTAAGATTTTTTAATTATTTTTTATTGGTGTTGATTCATGTTTATTTAATTAAAACTTATAGGAAACCTGTGGCTGATACAACTAGAAATTGTTAATTCTCCAAGTATTTTAATGCTGTTGCATTAACAAAAATTGACTTCAAGTGTACTGCTTTGCTGTGCTACAATAACAAACCTACAGAAATTATATCATTGTTACATAGATTCTCTTATTTTAGTATTGAGTATAAAAACAACACAGACTTTTTTCTATTAAAAGACAATGATAACAACTTTACATATGGAACTGTCAAAGTAAGGAAGACATTGACAACAAACCAAATAAACTCTTCTGTCATATTTTACCAAACATTACTGATATTTGCATTTCAAATTTCCAAAGAACACAACACTTATTCTTTAAAACAGACACATTGCAGGCTGTGTCCTTTGCTCAGATCTTATACTTATTCTCCTTTCTCATATGTTTGGTTAAATTTGATGGACAATGAGTATTTTGTAAATTTTTATTCAGTTTTTCTTGTCTTTTTTGAGAACTGAGTGTGTAGAGAAATTCAAGTGTTTATTGTGACAATAAATACTATATATAAAGTGCTTTTGAATAATTCGCCATTTTCAAGGGAGTTAATTTTTATAGTAATAAGTATTATTAATATATTTTTGTTTTGTTTCTTATACATTGAGGGAAGCAAAAGCATCTCATTTGAACAGAGCCAAAACTCTACTAAGAATGAAATTACTATTCCCTCTCACACAACACACTAAACAAAACAAAAATATATTAACAATCCTCATTACCACAAAATATTAACCACCTTGAAAATGATTAAAGTATTAGCTTAAAGTATTTAGGTTAATAAACTCCGTGGACGATTTCTCCACACAATAGCTCTTTGAAATTAAAATCATAAGGAGAAGAAAAATTGAATAAAATTTTCAAAATATTCCTTGTCCATCATATTTAAAAAATCATGCATAAAAGAATTTCCACTCAAGAGGGAACAGAAGAATAAATGAGTGTATGAGGGCTTTTGAGATTAAATGACAATAAGTTGAAAAGTGATGATTTCTGGTTGTTGGTCTATATTAACAGTCACAATTGGGGTCAAGGAGGTCAGTTCTGGTCTGCCCTTGGTGGTGAGGGCTGCAGACTGTCCTATGGTTTGTTCCAATACCACCTGTTCATGTTGCCAGCCATACACCATGATGTTGAAACAAGCAGAGAGTTAGTAAGAGAGTAGAGCTAAGCTATCCTAAGTGTCACCTACCAACTCATCCAGACCAAGCAAACAAAGACCTGAAAAAAGAGACACATATTATATAATATTGAAAACAGGCTTTGATTTCTCATTTTTCAGTATGGTAGTTGTTTTCATCTCACTTCCATGAGAACATGCATCGGGCCCTTCCCAGTATGAACAAAAATTGGGATGCAATATAGGGTATTTATTGGCTGGTCAGTGGAAAGCTGAGTGAGGGTCTCATTGTATATTTACAAGATGTCACTTTTATATTGATGTTAGTGTTAAGTCTGTATCAATTTGTAGATAATCTAACTTAAATTTTACAAATTTCAACATTCATCATATTATACTTTTCATACACACTTAAACTAATGTAACATTTCAGAAATTAAACATATACACAGATTCCATGAAATTTACATTTCACAAAACTAATACAAATGAAACAAAAAGAATTTAAAATTGAAAATCCATTTGAAATTAATTTGTTTTCTGAATAAAAATGGAAAGAGAGGAATTTCAAATAAATAGACAGGTTGGAAAAATGTCAAATAAAATAAACAAGAGTCTGGAATAACAATGGGTATGCTAAAAAAAATCAAAATTTAAATAGCCAGCCAAGCCCATTTATTCTGGATGCAAGATTTCATGTCAGAAGCTAACCATAATGAAAATGTTTTAATATTGATAAAATTATGCAAATTGAATTTTTGATGCCATGTAAAACAGGGTTCACATTCTACAGGAAAGTATATTCATGCTTTTTACATTCAAAAATGCATTATACATGAGATCAAATTGTACACAAATTTGGTAAATCTTTTTGTTTTGTGCTTGTTTCCAAGAATTTTTAATAAAATATCAAAAATTTCTAACATAAGTAAATTTGAAAAATCTCTTTATTTTATGTTTTTTTTTCCCCAATAATTTTTCACAAGAATTTCTACCATAAAGTAAATGCAATATACACTAATGTGGAAAAAGTTCAAATTTTAATTCAACAAATGAGTATAGAGTTAAAAAAAAATCCTTTAAATCCACATTCAGAATTATTTTTCTTGATTTTTTTAAAAAATATTTATCTCCAATTTTCTAAATTATATTTAATAAAATAGTAAAAAAAACCCCAACAAACTTGTGTCACAATGTTTCTTCAGAAAAAAAGATAAAAAAGACACACGTTTCCATTTGTCTCTTTTGCTAATTATCTTATTACGTCAAAATTTCTGAGTGAATGCAAATCTCAGATAAAAGTATGAATATACAATTTGGAAGGAAAAAAAGAACCAAATAAAACTGTATTTTTCTTAATATCTCTCCTGCTTGTCTGTCTTTCTTGTCAGCATTGATTTCCAATGTCTCTGAGACAGGATACATAGAAAATCTCTACACATTTCTCTCCATAACAACGTCCCACACTGATATCCAAATAAGACAATGTACAAACTGTACAACAATTGAAATATGAAATTCAGATAACAATGATGACAGAACAGTTTTAGAAAACCTCATAAGCTATAGAATCTAAATAAAAAAAAATATGCAAAAACTTTATTCACTATCTTTTAACAATAATGCATTATTCTCTTTCTTTTCAAAAATGTCAACCGTCAGGCCTCTTACTAATTTTTTTACTTCCTTTGATAGAAACTGTTCTCCATCTTTCTTTCTATCATCTCCACATGCTCTCTTTCAAATTCTGTAATACATGTGTCCCTGAACAGAGTTGGAAAAGGATAAAAGTTCTATATAATAGTTGCCTCACAAGGGAGTAAAGAGAAGCAATTGCCCCACAAGGAAGCAATAGATGACAAGCTTTTGAAACCATTGCTACTGTAGTGAGTTTGATTCTGAACACCCTACACTTGTAGCCTTCTGCCGCACTAAGATAACTTTAATAAATACCAATTTATCTTTGTACCGATATATTATTTTGAGGTTTATACAAATTTATCTGTATTCATACATTTATATTATACTAGCAGTAGAGCCTGGCGTTGCCCGGGGATGTAACAGTAAGAGATAGATCAAGTATCGACCATCATAAAGACTGAAAAATAAAATTGACAAAGATTATTGTTTAAGGTTGACGGACACGCATGTCTTAATTAGTTTTTTTTTTTTTTTTTTTTTACGAATTGGTCAAACCCAAACTCAAACAAAAACATTGTTTTCAGTCGTTATGAGTCTACCGATTGAATAGAATTTTATTATAAACAATTGTCTTGTAAATGGAATTTTTAAAGCATTCTGAATGTAAAAATAAAGAAAAAAGTGTGCAAGACAATAAGAAACACCAACTGCCAAAAAAAAAGTGAAGTTTTGTTGAAATCGGTTGAAAAATGTAGGAAATCCGATCCCATATATAAAGGAACACACACACACACACACAAACAACCTGGGTTTTATAATAAGTATAACTGGATATGAGTTGACCCCCTTTCATACTCGTAATGCCTCTTAATTGTGTTTTCAAATTGATTTTGTGCAAAAACAATTGTGTTTTTCCAATTTTTGGCACTGTCAGAACTGCTGCAAGGTAATTTTATGTAGTCCTGTGAAGGTTTGTTGAAATCGGCTAAAAAATGTAGGACACACACACACAACCTAGGTTTTATAATAAGTATGATGATATAAAGACAACAATAATAAAGATATTATTTTGCCAAACATACAATTGACCAGAGTAATTTTGAAAAATAGCACATTCAAGACAAGCTGTCTTTGCAAATACAGAACTCAATACCAAGAGATAGAGCAATAATCATTATTTATAATTAAAATAATGTAGTTCACTTATCTAATTCAATCCATACTTATTATAATGGAAAATGATATATAAACTTTTATATATCAAGAACAATTTTAAGGAAATCTATGACAGTGGAAAAAGTTTTTGTGTGATATTCCTTCCTTTTGAATTTTATCAGACTAAAGTGATGTTTATTCTGATACACAATCATAAAGGAGAAAGGGGGCATTTAAAAAAAAGATTTTTAATTTTAAATTTAGAATTCTCAGTGTATCCTCCCCTTTTATGCAAATGTATAATATTCTGAGTTGTTATACTATATATCATAAATGTACATAATATTCATAAAAGATAATACAATATATAATTTATACAATGAAAGAAACATCAAGTTTCCAATAAGATTCAAATAACATTTTTGTATATATGTGCTTTGTAAAGCTGTTTACAAGGCCTCTGATCAGGAGATTGGAGGTTTTGAGGAGCATGGAACCACATCTTAATTACTGTTGTTATCAGGTTAATACTGACCTGCGGTGGTAGCACCTGTTAAGGTCTCGGTCCCCCAAACAAAAACAAAGCACTAAGAAAGTATAAAAATACATTTTATGTAAAAGAAAAATTAGCAACA